CGCAAGTGAAGTTGAGCGGATCTGGGCCGAGTTTGAAAACTCCGGCATCGCATGGGTCTTCAAGAGTACTACGTATAAGGCCGAAATAATTGCCGACACTGTTTTGAAACTCCGTATTATAATTATAGCATGATGTGCACCAAACTCGTATTCTACTTATAAAGGCCCCTGTATTGTCGAGATAATTTGCGCCCTCCCAGCCTCCAGGCTGTCTGCATCCCGAGAAGCAAAATCCCGAAGCCCGACACAGGCAGCGTCCAACTGCGGTATGCCGGAGCTGTGCAAGGTCCAATCTAGTCTGAAATTCTTGGGGGGGGGGGGCNNGGTTGGGTCTAGAATCTTTGAGGTGTATTATACACTGTATGGGATTGCAATGTGCACTGCCTGGTCTGACGGCTACCAAGACGATCGCGGTTTCCGTGGCTGATTGGCTTACGTAGGTGAGCTCCTGTTCGGGTCGGGCGCGATCCGCCATGTGCCTGCATGTTACTTTTGTCCCATAAATGTGAAAGCCCAACTCATCACCTGAAATATACCTTTTGGTTCCTTATCCTATGTTGTACTAGCTTAGAACTTAGACTTAGACCCCCAAAAGCCGATTTAGATATGAAGGCTCGATGCTACGGTTTATGATATATACATCCCGCGTTGCCCATAAGAAGGAATACACCATAAATTCCCATAGCTTAGGGTCCTTAAGGTCATGCAGGATTTGTATCATCAAGAGCAGGACTCTTTTGGAGGCTCTGAGTTCCCCAAGCCTGGCCTGAAATGCCCGAGGAACGGGAGTCCAATTTAAGTAGGTTTTTTTTCGGTTTCGGGTCGGATTGTTACATTTCGGGCCGAGGGTCCCGGGAAGGAAAACGCGGGGATCCTTCTTAGGGTTTAGGATTTATCCAGGGTTTAGGGTTTAGGGTTCAAGATCACTAACTCTGGCCACCGGGTCCGAGTTGGAAGAAACCTTTCACTCAAGCCTTGGCCTTGGTTTTGTCCTGAGAGCAGAGAGTCAAAAGTTAAAGTCTGCACCCGCCAAATTAAACTCTTAGCCTTAGACCCTAAACTTTATAAGCCATACTACATAAGCTTGAGTAGCTCTACAGGTTCAGCCCCCTGTAGAACCCTAAGCAGTCGAAGCCTTGACTGAAATCTCAAGATCAAGCCCTAAGGGCTTTAGGGTTTGTATAGGGTGTCGGGTTCACTCGAAACCTAAAGCCGTGAACTTCAAAACTTGAAGCTCTAGGCCTTGAGCCCTGAACATTTATGCCTTAAACCCCAACAACCCTAAACCCAAAGCCTTAAAAGCCTCTGTAGAACCCTGTCCTTGCTGATCTAAACATAGGCCAGGAACCTCGAAGTGTAAAAATCCCTTCATACAACGCTGCGAAGACCCCAAAAGCTCCAATGAGAGTCCACAGAGAGTCCCGCAAATCTATCCCTACACACTACAACCTAAATCCCGAAACCAAAAGCCGTGATCCCTAGATCGACTTATAGTCTGGTGGAGTCCGAGTTGCGAGCGGAAATCGGACTATATAGACCTCGGCAGGCCTGCTGTCAGAAGCTCACGGAATCTTCGGAGACTGGGAAGCCAGCTTCTGCCTCACCGGTGAGCTCAGGCCGGGCGGTTGTCGTTTCGATCTTTTGAGCTTTAATCCATCAAGGCCTCAGTTTGAGTCTCAATGTTCACCTGCCAATAATGACTCTAATAATGACCCTAGAGCCTGAGTCGAAACCCTAAGACCCAAGCGCCAAACTCTCCCCCATGATTGATTTCAGGCCCAGTTATAATAGGGGTGAATGATCATTGAGGGGAGTGCTGCTACGCTCTCTGCGACCCTGGAAGGGCTGACAAAAGGGTCTCAAACGGTCTTTTAGGAACCAGGGACGGGATTATCATTGAGTTCCCGGGATCGGGTTTGAAAGTTGGGGGGGGTTATAATTGACGTGGTGGCTGAGTAAGTAACCTTTAACCGTTTTGGGCTTATATATCCCTACCAGTATTGAAAGGTTAACCTTTTTTGGGCTAGGATGCTCAACCCCTAAGTTGAGTTCTGAGGGGTTCGAGTTTTGGGTGTCTCTTTTTTCTAACCTGCCTCTCCTTTTTTGACCTGAAATCTTTTCTTAGATGCTCCCTCGAGTTTTTCTAGTTGAGGTCTTTGAGAGGCCAGGAGTTTAGAGTCTGCGAACTTAGTTGAAGGTTTGGGTCTACCGAAGTCGTGGGGTTCCCCCAGAGCTCGGGGTATTGAAATCTGAGCTGGGCTCGGATGGTGCAGGGTTTGGGGTGGTATCAAAGTTCAGGATCATGGGGGTTTTGGCTTCGGAGGTTGTTTAGGCGGAAGGGATTCAGGGCTTAGTGCATTGCCGTCCCTGCTTTAAAAAAGTGTTTGCGGTTTAGGCTCTAGGGTAGGTTGAGGGTTCCGAGTTTCTTACCTCTTGTAACTGCATCGGGTGTTTTTTCTGGAGGTCGACCCCTGAGCGCGAAGCTTCAAAATTGCGAAGCCCTCAAACCCGAAGCCACTCGAGCGCTGCACGATAGCGGGTTATGGTTTAGGGTTCCGGGGCCTAGGCTAAACCCCGAACCCTAAACCCTAAACCCGAGGCAAAGCCCGAATCATCAAACCATCAAACCCTCAAAGCCTTAGCTACCTAAGTCCCCAGTCGTTCCCCTGCTGAGTGGGCCAATGTGCCCTTGTCGTAGCCAGGAACCTCGCCCAGGCTTGTCCGAGCGCGAGTGCGGAAACCCGAAAAACCTAAAACCCAAAAGATATTGAATCCCGAACTCTGGAATTGAACCCCTGAGCCTTAAACTTAAACCCTAACGGAGAAGCGAAAACTTACCGTCACCTGGAAAGGTCACGTGGTGAAGCGGCGCATCTCAAACGCATCGTCGCAACCACAGGCTCGGGACTGGGCAGATTCGAGGGGTTTAGGTTTAGGCTTTTAGGGTTTCGGATATTCCTAGGAGATTTTTGGGCATTGGGGCTTGCTTCGAAGGAGGCGTTACACTCGTTTAGCCTTGCAGTCCACTTGAGGACAGGAATCCAGGGTAACTTTTTATGAAGGTTTGAAGAAGTGTTACACACTAGCTTCCCCTTCGCAGTACATATGAGGCCCTTTGGTTGGGGTTCAGCCTAAACTCGAGAGCTCTTAGCTCGGAGGTTAGGGTAGCAGCCAGTAACAAGGAGGGACGCATGTCAAACCCCGAAGCCCGAAACCCCACGCTGCTTTCTTCCAAGTTGCGAAAGTCGAAACCCTGAGCCCCAGACGGATATCCTTCCTTTACCCCTAAAGCCTAAACCCTAAACCCCAGCGGAGATGGAACCATGAGGAGCCTTGCCTGCGCTTGCCAGTGTGAGAGTCGAAAACCCCAAACCCTAAATCCTAAGCGTATCTAGGGGAGCCCGAAGTCACCCAGCTCATTGACAGGTCGGTTTTTGTTCGCGGAGGCCCTAGGAATACGGGGCTTGGCCCCAGAGTCTAGTTCCCCCTCTTGCCTCAATCCTAGCCATGTGTCTCCGATGCAGCCTTCCATGCATGCGTGCACATGTATCCATGCATCCGTCCGTGCATCCATCGGTTCGTCCGTCCATCCATCCCATACATGCCTGTGTATGCATGCTTGTTGTATGTTCATATGTAACACGTGCACATGCGTTCTTATGCTAGGCACTTGATGCTAGGCACTTGGCTTTTCGACAATCGTTCTTATTCGTGGAACTTCTAGACTGAAACCGCATCTTCTGTTGGTGGTAGCTGGTAGCATTGGTCCCTATAGAGCTTAAGCTGTAGTGGCTACGCCCTTGTGCGCCAGTGCAGAATTTCATTCATGGCTGTCCAGCATAAGCAAAGCAAGTTGGAATTCAAATCCATATCAATGTGCTCGAAACTTTTGTCGGCCACCACCAGAAAGGCAAATCGAAATCGGCGACAGAACAGTTCTTCTGGAATAAAACCAATCGATGTTTGCGAGATCACTGCTGAGGGCAGCCTACTTTGTAAAGGGAGAGTTGTCTTGGACGACTTTGCGTTGGCGAACCCTGCTTTACAAGCCCTAAACTCTAAACCCCACCCTAAACCCCGCCCAGGCTTGTCCGAGTCTGAGTGCTGAAACCCTAAAGGGAAAAAACCCTACAAGCCCTAAACTCTAAGCCCCAAAATTGGTGCCTTCGCCAGGTCCGGCCCGCAGCCTCTTCGGACTCTCGGGGGCTGCCAGTGCTCCTGAGCAAGAAGTCGACCTCGCGAGATTCAAACACTTTAGGGGTTTAGGGTTTTAGGGAACTGATGCCGTAATCGGGTGTCTGAGAAGGAGGAGCATTACGGATGACAAGCACAAGAGTGTGCAACTAGAAGTGAAATCGCACTGCCGGTGCCAACAGCTTTCGTCGTCATCCTACTCCTCCTCCTCCTCCTCCTTCTCCTCGTCAACTTCGTAATTGTGATGCTTTGCCACCAATGTAGAGATGCCGTGTTCTTGCATTGCGCGACTTAGTCTTCCGGAAGGTTGGCGCAACGGACACTTCAGAGGGCCAACATTCCTTCGGCAATAGTGACAATAGTGCTGAGGTGGTAGTCTCCTCCTAACTATCACACCAACATGAGCATAACATATTCATTTCTGGCACCTCCATCAGTTGCAGGACCCTGGAAGTTCTGTGCACCCCGCAGCATGACTCAGAGAGAATCACCCTCTTGAAACTTAGCCGATTTGCCTTGAAAGGTGCATTTCTTCGGGGCTGAGTAGGTAACCTTTAACCTTTTGGGGGATTATATATAACCCGATTATAGCTCAAGAGGTTCACTTGTTTTGGCTAGGGAACTCAGTCTTTAAGGTTTCTACACATTCCCTCCAGTGCTGTCGTCATTGCTCTCTTCTTCATTTTGCCCACATTAGCTCTGGAATCCTTTTGTCGAGGGTATGTTGCTGATATGGATGCCGCGGCAGGTCATCCCTCAGCGAGAGCTCAGCCGGCGGCAGCACAAGGTTTCGATTTTGATAGTCTCGGCTGAACTGCGAAGCTGTCAGGGCGCTTGGAGGGAAATGGGTCCAAGGCGGCTCGGCTTTGCAAAGTTCACCCTGGCGAGGCTTAAGAACCCGCTTGGCAACGACAAGCCCGAGAAGCACGTTCGCGTCGACGGCTCAACCTTCAGACCAAGTTTGTAGCTCTTTCGGTATCCTAAACCCCTAAACCCTAAACCCGAAACCCCTGAACCCTAAACACCAAAACCTGAACCCTATGACCTGCAACGCAGGCTTGTCCTTGCTATGTAGGAGGGGAAAAAAGCCTAAGACCAGCTTCGTCATCACGTCCACCTCCAGATATCGGCGTGTGCGGACTAAGCACTTAGCAGGGGAGGCCTGGACTCAAAACTAGACTCTAAACCCTAGGCCCTAAACTTAAGCCGAAACCCGACCAAAAACTCTGCCTTGGCTTCTGGCCTTGCCCGCCGAATCTTTGAGGTCGGGAGCGACCTGAAGCATGAAGCTCTGGAGACAGCGAGCTCCAACCACACCCCGCTCTGCGGGGGAGCTCAAGGGCCATGCTTGGCATTTTGGGTTTTACCCATAGGCCCCTAAGTACTTCCTTTTTGGGATTACCTTATAGGATTCTAAATATATACCAAAGAAAGGAACTACTTAGGGGCCTATGGGTATGGTTTAGGTGCCGCTATTTCATCGCAGGTTTGAAAACCAAGATGCCTTTGTCCGTAAAATTCCGTAAACCCTAAATCCAGAGCCGACCCGGTTGCAGCAGTCAGTGCCGCGCTGCTGCAATGCTCCTAGGGCGACGACGATTTGCGCTAACTAATTAGGGCTTCTGCGACTGCCAGGACTACCAGGTAGCTCTAGACTGCAGCTGCTGGCTGCAAGCTCATCGCAGCAAATCCGTGCTGGGTGGATCGTCCAAGGGTAAGTGATCGGGGCTCGTACGCAAGCCTGGCCTGGCTCCACTAGCAGTGTCATCACCGTCATCACCATCGTCATGCTCTGTCGTCGTGCTCGTCTCAACCCCCTCCCCCATCACCGTGTTTTTGGTCGCCTGAACGAATAGCGCCGGGCAAGGCCTGGAGTCCAACTCCAGCATCGGCGCAAGCCCCATGGAAGGAAGGCTGGGCTTGACTTGCTCAGTTTTTTGATACGGTTGATGATATAAATCCTGCATTAAGGAATAAACCATAATTCCCATAGTTTAGGGTTGTTAAGGTAATGCATGATTTATATCATCAACAGTATTACCTAGACCAAACTGTCAAAGGCTTGATGTATTCGAAATGAAGTCAAAGGCTTGATGTATTCGAAATGAAGTTCGGAGGAATCAAGCCCTTGTAGTCAGGAGTCGGGTGCTACAGCAGATCATTTTGCCCAAGAAGCCCACCGGGGACACCTCCCTTTTCAGACCCACAGAAACCCTGTCTCTCCTGGAGTCCGAGTGTAGGCGCCGCACACCAGAAACCCCAGGGTTTAGGGTTTAGGGCTTAGGGTTTAGGGGCTATCTGGAGAACCACCCACTTCCTCGCAGGGATTCGGAGAACAGCCGCTCAAAAGCAGTGCGACTCAGCATCTCGGCGCAGACTTTCTTTCTGCAGGCGACAGGGTGCTTTATCCAGCGAGCCACAATATCGAGGATCCTACTGCGTATGAACAGCATAGTATAGTATAGTATAGTACCGAACTACCATCTGTATGGTTGAAGGTTACATACATTCCCCAATGCCAATTGCCACCCTGTCGACTGTTGCGAGGTTCTGGCAGCCTCCGGGCGTTTGCAGACGAGATGTCCGAGCTGCGTCGCATCCTTCTGGCCCAGCCGAAGGCAGAGGGCCTGGGAAACGTGCCCAAGCGAGCTACAGAGTTGCCTCCCAGCTGAAGGTTTTGGGGAAGTTTAGGGTTTAGGGTTGCATCCAAGCTGAAGGGTTACGGGTCACGTCCTCCACGGAATGATTGCTACATAGCGCCAGAAATGACGTTGATCTGTGGCAGCTGAGGTTGGAGGACCTGCAAATGAGCATGATGGAGACCATCCGCAATGAGTTCAAGGGCTTGAAGCTGGGACTTTCATAAACGTTCTTGCACCCTAAGTTCTTCGATGTCAATGCTCTAGTGATGTCTGTCTAGCATGCGTTATGGACCTTCTAGAGCCCCCTTAGCTCTTCCTACCTTGAATTAATAATTATCACGATTTAAACTCTTAAACAAGTACCCTAAACCTTGCACCCCTGAATACACCCTAAACCCTATAAACCCTAAACCCCTAAATGCGCCCTATAACCCTAAACCCCTAAGTACCTCCAGCACCAGGAAGGAGGCGCAGGAGGAGAAGCAGAGCCCAGAGAACGCCTCGCTGTCCTCGCTTGCCGTCGGCATCACCTCGCAGATTCACAACCTGAGGGATGCCAGGGCCCCAGGGTTTAGGGCTTTTTTGGGGCTTTGCTTTAGGGTTTAGGGCTGGAGGGTTTAGGGTTTAGGGTCCATGGGCTTGCATAGCTTCGGATGGGAAGTGCTTGGCCAAGAACGAGGAGCAGCAACAACAAGAACAAGAACAAAAACAAGAACAAGAACAAGAACAAGAACAAGAGCAAGAGCAAGAGCAAGAACAAGAACAAGAACAATAACAAGAATAAGAATAAGAATAAGAATAAGAACAAGAACAGCAACAGCAACAGCAACATCAACATCAACAACAGCAACACGCTGCTGTTACATGCCAAGCACCACAGTTATGGTCAACATCATCGCCATCGCTCTCATCATTCACCAGCACCACCACCCGCACCTCCGCCGCCACCACCACCACCACCACCGCCGCCGCCGCCGCCGCCGCCACCGCCACCCCCACCACCACCACCACCACCACCACCGATCACCACCTTACCAGCATGCTAGCCAGACTTAACAGCCACAATGTCAAGAGCAGTAGGCCAGGAACCGGATCCATGCAGTTTGTTTGAAAGACTTGGCGGAGGACCTGCTGTCCATCCTGCACAGCAACGGGTCTCAGGGCAGCGTCTGCAGCTCCACTCGGAATTCCTGCAGCCCGCCTCCACGCATCGTCGCCATGCCACGAGAGGAGTCTCCCCCGGCTGCACGAGTGGTGGGGCAAGCGGCTACGGCTCCTGTATCCGGCTTCTCTACCGAACCAGTCGTCCGCCCTGCCACAGCCTCGCCCACCCCGGACGGGCGGCTGTCCCCAGCACCCCCTCTCTCCCAGAATTCCCTCCCGAACTCTTTGCCCTGCTCCGTTCCGGGCTCCGTGATGCCATCATCTCCCCACCTTCGCATGTCCAAGCCCCTGCAACAGCGGCTGGTGGTCACCGCCTCTACTGGCCAGCTGCCTGCTGCAACTTGGCCAAATCCGAGGTAGTAGTAGGGAGGCCCCAAAGAGAGGACCCTTCTGAACCCTACTTGCCCTACTTCTGGCTCTCTTAAAGGGGACCTTCTTGAGAGTGTCTAAATATACCTAAGGGCCCATGGGTTCCCCCTAATCCTAACTCCCCACCCCTAAACCCTAAACCCTAATCCCAACTCTCCCACCAAAGGTCCCCCCCCAGCTCAGCTCCTGGGATCTTAGGCCGGCCGCTCGCCCTCGCCTCCCTCCATGCACCTCGTGCTGCACACCTTGATGTCATCTTCCTAGAGACTCCAATATCCCGTAATTAAGGAATATACCTTAAATCATACTGACTAAGGATCCTGCTGTAATTTAGGGAATATTCCATAATTAAGGGATATTGGAGTCTCTGGGTTCCAGCACCTCTCTGTACCTATCTGCAATCTGAGGTACCGCCGCTACGTGGTCCCTTCCTACCAGAAGCCCCCTGGTAGGGCGCAGCAAGCCACAAGACCCACGGCTCGGTCGATGTCCCCTCTCCCACGGACGGGCTACCTGCCCATGGCTCCACGAGGTCGCCACACAGGACGGGGCCCAGCCATTTTTTTTGGTTTAGGGTTTAGGGGGGGTGGTGGGGCCTGTTAGGCTCAGTGTTGGCATGTTTGGGTTCAGGGCCTAGGTAAAAGCAGCTGTGTTTTTAGGGGGTTTCGAGGAGCAGGGCTCTGACACCTGACCCTCAACCCGAAACCATGAGCCTCTGAACCACCCGACTTACACTCAACACCCTGTCAACCAAAAGACTGGAATGGAGGATGGATGCCTTCGATGCCGGTGGCGCCCGTGTCGGTGCGATGGTCACCGAGCCCCCGGCAGCGTACGAACATATCGCACAAGCCTCAGTCCATCCATTCGGGCATACTACGGTTGATGATAAGAATCCTGCATGACCCATAATAAGGAGTATACCATCATTCCCATGGTTTAGGGTCCTTAAGGTAATGCAGGATTTATATCATCAACAGTATGCCGAGGGCCTCCAGCCCGAAAAGTCGCCAAGGCATTCATGCCCCCTCAAGACGAAGAAGACTTTCCATGGCAATTTAAGCATGGCTTAAATGATGGGTTTAGGGTTTAGGGTGATGACGTTCCAGATGTCCACCTGGGACAACAGAAACCACGAAAGCACGAACATGCATTACTGAAACTTTGGAAACCTGGCTCCTGGATGTATCCTTCCACAGGTAAGGAATTTAGTTAATTACCATCGTGAGGGGGTTCTATCTTGTGTGCTTTACATTATGTCAATTACGTCACATCAGAAACGCTTAGGCTTAGATGTTTCGATGAAGTTCCTTACCGAGGACCCGGTTTGTGCATGTTTACACATTGCACTAAGTCGCAGTATTCCTTTGGAATGTAGTAATTATCAATACTTAGGGGCTGAGTAGGTAACCTTTAACCTTTTGGGGCTTATATAATCATACCATAATTCAAAAGGTTAACCTTCTTTGGGCTGGGGTACTCAGCCCCTAAGAATAAAACCCAAAATCATATTTATGAATTCCAGACGGCTGCCTCTTGAGGTCCGCAACAACAATTCACGGCTCCGGTCCCTTCCATTCGCTGCAGGACCCCTGTGAGTGAAGGTTTAGGGTTTAGCATTCAGGATGTCAGGTTTAGGCTTCTAGAGTTCTAGACAGCCAGATTCTGCAGCCGAATCAGTGGCTGGTCAGAACGGTTTCTGTTACTGTGCTTCAATTTCTTCACGCGCCCCACTTTGGGTTTGAATGTTCCCGAAAATAGGCGGGTCCTTGGAATAAGGCTAGAAAGAAGTTCCACTCGTAACTGAACCCTGCAATCCTGAAGGTCTAAGGCCCTCTAAGCCAAAGCTCCCAATTGGACGGCTCTCCAGGAACCAGTAGCCGTCGATCCGCGTAAAGCCCCAGCGCCTGCCGCAGCTCGTCCTGGGTTTGATGGTTCAGGCTTTCAGATGAAAATTGTTTCGGATTGAGGATGGTCGGGTTTTCTTGAAGGATGCAAAAGCAGGGCTTCAAGTGTTTAGGGCTTCCGGCTTCAATTTCTTGAACTTAAGACCCTCGCCAGGCTGTGCCTGGCTGACCGTGTGCAAAACGCTGTATGCGTAGCTGTATGGCAGTATGCTATTTTAACTTCTGCCATATTGTATGGTTCGAGATGGAATGAAATTTAACTGACCACCTTGACGTCACGTCTTGTAGCGATAGCGTGCATACACGTATACATATGTACATACATACGTACATGCATGCATGCATGCATGCATGCATACATACATACATGCACACACACACACACACGCAGACACACACACACACATATATATATATGCACACATACATACACACACAAACATACATACATACATATATACACGCACATGCATGCATACATACATACATCCATGCATACATGCATGCATACATACATACATGCATGCATACATACGTACATGCATCCATCCATCCATCCATCCATCCATACATACATACATATCATTGAAAACCTATATCACGCGGTTTCGCATTGTAGGGTTCAATTTCATCATGGTACGTAGGCTATGTTATGTTAAACATGTTTTCACACATCATGTTATTCAGTAGGCTTTAAATATACATGATATGGTGTATACGTTGTGCTTCTTTGAATGTGCAAGACATATCTTAAAGTATAGTTTATAATATCGCTTTTTTGAGGCTAAGTATTGCACATCCGAGAATATTGGCCATGTAGTACGCTTTCAATATTGCAGATTGTACTTCTAAGTTACTACCTGTTCAACATCATCTCACAGAAAAACCGCAGAGAAACAGGTTTATTCACATATCTGCACGGTATATATATATATACTACAATATACTGCATGACTTCAGGTATGTTACTTACGGTTCATTTTGACCGGCCCTAAGGCGGCGCCGGCAAGGGCAGAGGTCACGAAGCCTCACGCGGCCCGCGTTGAGTCTGTGGAGTCCCTCAGCGTGTGCCCTGATGGACAGCGGGTTGGGGGGGTAGGATGGGTAGGTTTAGGTTAGGTTTAGGGTAGGTTTAGCTTAGGTTTAGGCTAGGTTTAGGTTAGGTTTAGGGTTTAGGTTAGGTTTAGGTTAGGTTGAAACGCCTCAGAGTTCGGAAGGTTTAGGGTTTAGACGGTTTAGATTTCATTCCAAAGGGTAGAGGAGAGCCCACGGTAACTTCAGAGTTTAGGCTTAGTTTGTCGAGCTTCGGAAGGTCCATCATCTGAGGTTCAGGGTGCTTCCGGTGTTATAAAGATTAGTTATACAAGGTTTACAAGATGCCAGAGTGGCTTAGAGTCTTCTGCAGTCACGGTGGGATGATTGGTCGGCGTCTTGCCTCTGCATTGTGACATGCATTGTCTATACCTGCTCTAGCACTCACGGTTTAAAGAGCACCTTGTACATGGATGGGTAGGTATGTAACATAATCAAAGAATCAAAGTCCTTTCGTCGTGTGGCCCTGTGCATGAGGACCACGACGTGTGCTTGGTAAGTAGAAACGACTTCAAGGCCCACATATCCTGGCAGCTGTGTCCCCAGAACGACCGATGATGCTCGCTTTGTCTACCGAGGTAGCCAGGGTAGCAGCTGAATATTGCCTGAGGCAAGGATTCTTGAGATTCGCTTCCCCGAAGATTCACTTAAGTAGGTCGCCATCATCAAGCGTGGCTATTTGCGCTCTCTCTCTCTACGATGCCAAAGCGCGGATATCCGTTGCATGTGATATAGGGGTCGGAATGATGTCCAAAATTATATTTCATCTAAGTACAAGTAAAGTATATTTCCTCCCAAAGCCCAAAACCCTATCAAATGATTAAGGCTCGTATATTCCAGAACCCTTATATGTAGACCCCGCATAGTAACCCTTCACGCATCCTGTAAGGAACCCCATTTTAAATATTCAGGCCCCTAAACCCTGAACCCTAAACCGTATTCGGGCCCCTATGGTGTTTTGAATCTTTCTTTCCAACTGGCTGCTGTCCGACGCCTTTTGTCTGGGTGCGGACAGCAGGGGAGGATCCTGGCGTTCAGTGAATGTAGGTACTGTAGTAGTAGGCGCTATCACAGCACACCACCTGTAGCCTTCATGTTTCTGAGCTTGTCGGGAAGAGACCCATGATCGGAATCAATTGCGTTCAACATTCAACGATGGACCTACTCATCATATATGGTCACATCATTCAGTGGCATTCATCATCCAACAAACCGTCGGATCCGATGATGCGGGTTGTGCACAGTTTGGCACTTCCTGCGCTCACCTCCGTGGCCACTCCTCAAGAGAGTGGTTCCGAGATGAACCACGCTACAAGCTGTTACGGTTGCAAAGGATGATATAGACAGGTCGGAGCAAGTACCAGTACTATCCTCTCATGGTTCCCTCGCAGCTCTTATAAGTTATTACAATCGGGTTTTGTGCGCATGCAAAGTTGAAGCTGTTTCGAAAGTCCGCGAAATTCGCGATGCCTTATGCCAGCCGTGCCCGGTCCTCATGTATGATTTTGGTGCCGAGAGAGTATCGGTGCCGTTAACACTGCACTGCGGCATGCTTGTACAAAACAAGCCTGCGGTTTCATGTCCTTCGCTTTTTTTACAGGAAAGTCAATCACAAGCATGGGCTCCAAATGACCCAGTGAGCATTGTGGAGCTGTGGGAAAATCTTCGTTTTTGTCGGCCCCTCAGTGTTGGCATTCGATCATGGGGTTTACGTATGTTCATTTCGTAGCGAAGGGATGCAAGAACATACATGGCTATGCCGTTCCCCTCCTTTGTTCCGAGACAATTTCCAAGCTTTTTGCGACAGTGGCATGGTTCCGATCATGCCGCACCCTCAGCCGTTATCTGGACCCCACGAACATTGCCTTTTCAGGCTCTGGCCTCTGCTGCTCCTGCGGTGCCTCTTCTGGGATAGTCTTAGTCGGCTCCGGGGAGACTTACCGTTTTTCATCGCGTCCCGCTGTCCGCACTACTGTGCTCAAGCGAGGGAAGCCGTGCACGGGAGCATCCCGGATCCTGTCAGATTTCGCGCGCATATCTAAATCCCCAAGCCCGAAAGCCCGCAGCGGTCGCCGTAGCAGCACTGTTTTAGCAACAACGGCGTGGGCACAAAACCTCCAAACTCCTCATGTACAAGCCCCGGTTCGACTCAGGCTCAGGTACTCGTTCTTCGGCCAAGTACCAATCCCTGAACTGGAAGGCCCCCTTAAAGAGGCGAAGAAAGAAGGGATATTGCACGCAATTGCAAATGCAATCCTAGATCAAGAGAGTATAAGGGAGGATATCAGCAGCTCATGGCCCCGCGAAAAAACACCTCGAGCTGCCTACAGCCTGGCATGCGATCCTACCTGGTCCCGGCCTTGGAACTAACCGTTAGGGAAAAGGGTTTTTAGGGTTTAGGGCAGCACACTTTAGGGTTTGTTTGAACAAGCTTGAGTAGTTGCCAATACTGCTCCATTAGGGTTTCTTTATTTTTGGCTAATTATACTAGTGTACTAGAATGTCACTATAAACCTGAATTCTAAAGCCCCTAGGCCCCTATATTAGGATGTAGTTCTTTATAGTACAGGGTCCACAGAAATTCCAGGCGTTGTGCTTTAGGTTTGATTAGCTACTCCAGAAGCTTATAAACAATTACCAGTATCATTCCCTACGGTTCCTTACTCTAAGCATACGAGTTACATACTATAACTAGTACTATAATGTACAAAACCCTATGCGAATGATTGTTGAGGCTCCCTTTTGAGGCATGAAGGAATGGGCAGATAGACGTCTCCAAGACCTGAACCTTGGGCACACTCTGTAGCAGCTGGAAAATATTTGTGCTACAATTATTCTAGGGGCTGCGCCCACGGTCGGGCAGCGGGGGTAGAAGCCTGGAGCAAGGCCACGCACCTCCCTCCGCCGAACCCC